GTGTCAGGAGCACAGACTGGAGCACAGAACGAAGCACATCGCTCTGCGCTACTTCCTTGCTCGAGAGTTGCAGCAGCGTGGTCAGCTTCGTCTTGCTTACGTGGCCTCTCGGGCCATCACTGCTGATATCTTCACCAAGGCACTTCAGCCTTGTGATCATCAGCGCTTCTGTATTGTTCTAGGCCTTGTGCCTACTTGGCCTGACTTGCTCACTTCTTGACTTTGCTTGTACTATGATCTATATACTTATACCCGCTTGCTTACACTTGCTAGGTTGTGATCACTGTTCTGCTTGTTCTCCTTTATATAACTCTGCATGTGAACTGGCCTTGTGGCCATTTGCTTGTGCTTAGAATGCGTGGTGACGTCGTGATCCACCCTGAGCTTGCTTTGCTTTTCTTGACCGGTCTTGTGACCTCTTGTTCTTCCCCACTTTGCCTATGGGGGTGTGTCAAACTTATATGTGCTGCTGATTGTTTAGGCTGTAGTGGGGTAGCCCATAAGGGGTACAACCCAATTAGGGTTTCCTACTTGTACCTATCCTGCTGCTAGTTCACACATTCCTGTTCGTTATTTCTGACAATTCCGCCAACGAAGCGGATTGCTGCCACGTCTGCACTTCGCTTCTCAATCCATGCAGCCAATAGGAGTCACACGGCGACCCTAACAACCCATCTTGACTAGACTTGACCCACAGTGAGCCATGAGAGAGTAAAAGTATCAAAATCGGAAGTTGACAGGTTGCTAAAGTAAATTTCGTTACAGTATTTAGACCGTTTTTCAAATAAAAGTTTTACATGCGCTTATATTAGGCATGCGCCTATATCCGGGGTTACACGTTATGTCTTATATTAAACTACCCTGAAAAATGAATGGCTATCTTATAAACGAAAGGTTATGGGTGTCTTATAAATCTTACTAATGGTGTTGGAATAACCGACAGGTTGTTTAAGCAGCCCTAAGCCATGGCAACAGTGCACCCGCCCATACAGAGGATGCGCACTCACCAACTATCACGTTACTATCAAAGTACACATTTGTGTATGCTAGAATGTAGTGAGTTAGATACTAGGGAGTACAACCCTTTTAGGGTTGGTATATGTTCACCCATGCTTGCTATCACAACAATTCCGTTGCATTCCATACTTGAGATGGTATCATAAGTAGGTTAGGTCCTAGCCCGTCCCGCCCCTTACTAAGTAGCGCCCCGCCCCTTAGGACGTCCCGCCCCACTTGTTAGCGGGCTGCGCCTTGCCCACCCCGTCCCCTCGTGCTCTGCCCGTCCCGTCCCAGCGCGCACGCTGTCCTGTCCCTCCCGCTCCCGTCCCGTCCCGTCTCGTCTGCGCGCAGCCCGTCCCGCCCTGCGCGCAGCCTACCCCGCCCGTGCACAGCCTGTCCCACCCGCCGCGCGGCCCGTCCTGCACAGCGCGCAGCCTGTCCCGCCCAGCGCTCAGTCTGTCCCGCCCTGCGCCCTGCCCGTCCCTCCGCGTGCGCTACCCGTCCCACCTACACGCGTAGCCCGCCTCGTCCTTACCTGCCCGCGTGTAGCCCGCCCCGTGCACCGCCCGTCCCGCCTAGTGCACAGCCCGCCCTGCCCCACACGCGCACACCATCCCGCCCGCGCGCAGCCTGACCCACGCGCGTGCAGCCTGTCCCACCCTACGCGCAGCCCGTCCCTAGCAGCCCGCCCCGTGCACCGCCCGTCCCGCCCCGTGCACAGCTCGCCCCGCCCGCGCGCATTCCGACGCGCCCGAGCGCGTCCCGTCCCACCCGCCCATACCGCCCGTCCCTCCCGACCTGCCTGCGCTTACCGAGCCCCGCGGCCCCTCGTTTTTCGGCCCCTCGGCCCCTCGTTTTACATGCCCCTTGGCCCCTCTTTCTTAGGCCCCTTGGCCCCTCGATCTCATACCGCACTCCCTGTCCTTGGCCTTTCCCACGGCGGCTGGCAGCCGCAGTCGACCTTCCTAGGGTAGCTTAGGTCCGTCTCCGGCGTCCCTAGACTAGTCCTGCTGGCTCCGCACACCGCTAGCTTCGGCCTTCCCTAGATCGACCCCTCTGGCTTCGCACGTCATTACCCTTTCGCCCCTAGCCTAGTTGAGCGCTAGCCATGACGACTCCTCGAACCCTACGTTTCGATGCGGAGGGTAGGGCGCTAGAGTTCCCCACCTGGCTTCTACGCACCGAGCTGTACCTACAGAGCCAGAGAAAGGATGGTGACACGCTCTGGGCGCACGTCTTTGGTGACCTGCGTTCGCCTCCTCGCCCTCGTGACCTGCCTAAGGAGCCTACTGACGACGAGCAGGCGCGCTTTGACATAGCCCGCACAGCCCTGTCGGTGTGGCAGTCCCGAGACGCTGTGGCTCGTATCGCCCTCGACAGCCTTCTCCCCGAGTCTGAGGAGGCACACTTCAGCCACGTTCGATCTGCCCAGGCCTGTTTCACTGCGATTAAGGCCCGTTACTCTACTGCCTCCTCCGCCTCTCTCGGTCGCCTCTTCATGTCGTTCCTTTTTCCCGACCTCGGGGCGTTTGCCCGCACTGCTGACCTTATCACCCACCTGCGCTCGCTCGACTCTAGCTACCGTGCTGCTTGTACTGAGGCCGAGCTTGCGATCCTCCCCCCGCCCATGCTTATCACTATTCACTTCATAGCCACTTGCCTCCCTGACCGCCTTGCCCTTGTACGCGACGCGCTTCTTCGGAAGCACCCCACTGAGCTCACTGTCGATGTCCTTGAGCTAGCGCTCAAGGAGATCGAGGGCAAAATCCGCTCCGTTGCCGCTTCTTCTGGTGCCGTAGTTCCCCCGCTCTTTCAGGGGTGTACTGTTCCACAACTACCCACCTTCACTGCCTCTCTTTCCTCTACTTCGTCTCCTGCTACTGACGAGACTGCAGCCGTGTCCACTGCGGGTGGGCGGTTCAGGGGTAAGGGAGGTAAGAAAGGGGGGAAGGGTGGTGGCGCTGGTGGTGGCGGAGGGGGTGATGCAGGGAGTGACGGAGGTGGGGGCGGTACTAGTGCATCTGGTGGAGACGACACTGGAGGTGGCACTCGGCCTGCAGGCCCAACTTGAGGTGTTGCTGGAGCAGCTGGTTGGTACGCGGCGGCAGCAGAGCAGCAGCAGTGGCAGGCCCAGCAGCATCAGCCGCAGCAGGGAAATAATTCTGCAGTAGGGGCAGCCGCAGCAGCAGGGGCAGCCACAACAGCAGGTTCCGCGACAGGTACAGTAGCAGCCCTAGCAGTGGGGATCTGGTGGACCAGGGGGCGCTGAGCGTGGCAGTGGCGCGCCCAGCTGGGAGTCCTGTGGTACTCCCCCTTCTCTTTGCCAGTACCGTGTCCAGACTGGGACACGTCGCGGTCAGCCCTGTGGCCGCTTTCACCCTCCTGGATAGTGCTTTCCGCAGCCGACCGCCTTCGCGCAGAGTACGGTGACGGCCCCTCTCCGCCCTGTCCCGTTCTATTGGTCCGTCGTTGTTTCAGATGTCTGTAGTAGAGGTGTTTGCTGTCTTGCAATCCGTCTCTGTGATGTATGCCGATGTGGACTATAGTGCTGCTGGATCTGTTTGCTCGCGTGTTCGTAGCTTAGGTTCTTTGCCTATTTCTAGTGTAGATGCTTGTGCTTCTAGTCTAGGTGCTTGTGTAGACACTAGCCAGGTGCTCCTTCGGCTGAGGCATCGCTCCCCTTCACCCTGGACTCAGGCACGTCTCAATGCTTCTTTCGCGACCACACGACTCACACGCCACTGCCTGCTCCGGTCTCGGTTGCGCTGGCTGATCCTACTTCAAGACCAGCAGTTGCTCGCAGCTCTACCACTCTCCCGTGCCCGGCTGTCCCCTCTGGTGTCCTCACTGGTCTCCACATCCCCTCGTTCTCCAGGAACTTGGTGGGTGTTGGTTACCTTCATGACCGCTACGCCAGCGTCTGATTTCCTCCGTCTGGGTGTGACGGGACTTGCGTGGACGGTGACACCCACGCTCCCCTTACCACGTTTACTCGGGAGCCGGGCCGCTCCGGCCTCTTCACACTACACACTCACTCTACCCAGGTAGCGGCGTCCGTCCAGGTAGCTGTGTCGCGTCAGGTTGCTTACTCGTGCTCCTGTCGGTCACTCACCCACCCGACTGTCCTGTGGCACCACCGTCTTGGTCACCCGTCCCTCCCTCGCCTCCGCAGCATGGCTAGCCAGCGTCTTGTCTCAGGTCTCCCACACGTCTTTTCATCGCTCCCTCCTTCGACTGCGCCGTCATGCACTCCTTGCGTCGAGGGTCGGCTGCGCGCCACCCCTCACTCCTCCTCCCTTCGTCCAGCCACCGCACCCTTCTAGACTCTCCACTTGGACGTCTGGGGCCCTGCCCCTCGCACTGGGTCCGAGAGGGAGAGCTTCTTTCTGGTGGTCGTTGACGACTACTCCCGGTACACCACGGTGTTTCCCTTGGCAAAGAAGTACGACGTGACTTCTACGCTGATCAGGTGGTTAATGGCCACTGAGACCACGCGTGGCCGTCGTATCGCTTGTCTACACTCCGACCATGGGGGTGAGTTTCGCTCCGGCATTCTTCGCGGATTCTGCAGCGAGCAAGGCATCACCCAGTCTTGGACGCTTCCTGAGTTCCCACAGCAGAATGAGGTTGCTGAGCGCCGCATTGGCTTGGTCATGGAGATCGCCCGCACCTCCATGATCCATGCATGTACGCCCCATTTTCTGTGGCCATACGCGGTTCGCTACGCCGCCCACCCGCTGGCATCGTGTCTCACGGCCAGGGGATTCACCAACCAGTCTTTGGACCGGGTCCCCTGGTGTTGCGTCGGAGTTTCGTGTCTGGGGCTGCCTTGCACTTCTCCGCAACACCTCTAAGGACAAGCTCTCGGCTCGCGCCATTCCCTGTGTCTTCCTTGGTTTCCCGGTGGACGCCCCTGACTTCACGTTTTACCACCCGCCCCTCCACCAGTTCCTCGACTCTCGTGACGTCACCTTGGACGCGTCATGAGTCTTGTTGAGTCGTTAGTACATGCTGCGGGTAGTCCGGATGATGCGTACTGCACATTTCTCTGTGCCAACTGCACGCGAGGTTTGCTGTTTGGGACGCAGGTGTTCACGGACTTTGTGGAGACGGTTAATGGAGTGCATTCCAGCCGTGATCGCAACACACTCATCCTCACTATCCACGAGGCGCATCGCATCACCAGCGCAGTTGCGCGGCCCATCGAGGAGCACGGCTTCAATGTGCAGCACCTCACGAACACCCGAATCGTCAACATCCGTGGCTCGGTACCGGAGATGGGACTGCCGCACCTGCAGGGGGTGGGGGACGCTTTGAAGGCGCATTACCGCGTCATGCTGATGAGGCGTGCGATCACATCCCGACGGTTCCAGTTCGACTATTCGGCAGCCATCACTGAGGTTGGTTATGCCGACATGCTCGAGTGGCTGGGAGAAGCGTGGACCCGTGTGCGAGCGGCTACCATGCAGAGGAGTTGATGGCGCGCTGGGTGCGTGCCGTCGAGCTGGCCGCCAATGATGGCGTACCTGAACGACACGTGTGCAACAGGCATGTTCGAGCCCCTTATTGCAGTATGCGCCGATTTGCAGTCGCTCATCGAAAAGTTCAAAGTGAGGCCTGCATGCTATATGACGGCTTCGGAGTTTGTCAACTGCGACGCTGACCTCTGTGTGGAGCAGGGGTTCATCGCAACATCGCCGGCCAGTGCGTCGTCGGGCTCATCCGGCGAGATGAGCCTGCCTGATGGCCCACTGCTGCGGGACGAGCGAAGCAGGAGGCGCGTGATTCGCAACGTCACAAACGCGTACGTGGAGCATGCCGATGAGCTCGGTATTTCCCCGGCCGCGGTGCCAGCTGAGGTCGGCGCATCAAACCAGGAGGTGATTTCCCGCCGGTGCAAGACGCCAGTGAAGCGTGCACGCGCAGGTGTGCGTGGTAGGGACGGGGCGGACCCGGATGCACAGGAAAGTGAGGACCAGCCTTTGTGCGTGATATGGTGTTGTGGCTAAGTAGTCAGTTGTGGTGTGCGCGGAATGGTGTGTGATTAGCACGCCGTTGGTTCATGCTGTTGATGGAAGTGTGAACAAGATGTGGTTGTAGTATTTTTATTGGAGTTGCAACATATTTGCCTCATTTGAAGTAACAAAGTCATTTGTTGAGTGCACGAGATGTTATACAGGCACGCTTGGAACGAACCGCCAGCACTAAAACGCGAACATTGGAGTGACGGCGGGGGGAGTTGCATGTGCGATTCGGGGTGTAGGTGTGCGCAACGGGTTTCCGGTATGTTTGCGGGAAAGTTACTGTGAAGTATATCTTATGTGTATGAGTTCATGTGTGTAACTGGTGTACAGAATGTTGCGTTTTTCGTGCGTTGGTTTTCCGCAACTTGTACGCAAGGTTTACGCAGAAAAACCTTCGGAGGCCTAAGACAACTTTTCTTTTTCGCGATGACGTGCAATAAAGTTCATGCGGCATGAACATAATACGTACACCTCATCAGCCAGTAGTTGACGCCAGGTTGCATCCTACTACTACCAGTCCTGTCAACGGCCGGATAAGGATTGCTTCAGAGGCAGCAGAGCAGCCTTATGGCTGGCGCAGTGCCTCCAGAGCAAGCATTACCAAAGCCATGATACTATCAGTCCTACTACTACTACTAGTATTAGTTTCAAATACCCGGAGGGATAAGCAGGGTGCTGGTCCCCTGGATCGTAAAGTCCGAGCCTACCCACAGGTTTGGCACGGCGAGCACGGTGGGCAGCGCGGCGGGGCCCTTGAAGGCGACGAACGGCTGGAAGTTGGGGCCGCGCTTGGTGACCTGCGTTCCCTCGAGAGTGTCGAGCAGCGTGCCGCCGGGAAGGTCCGTGAGGTTGCGGTAGAGGTAGCGCGTGGTGATGGTGTTGAAGGAGAGAATGGCCGTCTGCTGGTCCGAGTTGTAGTTTCGTAGAACGAAGATGTTGGCGGGGATTAGTATGGTGATGTCGGTGAGCGGGATGAGCGATTTCACTGCGGCGGGTGGGAGGAAAAGAGGGTTGTTTAGCAGGGAGGTCATGAGAATACGATAGGGATCATAAGCGCGATTTTTTGTTGTTGCTGGCGTACGTCATTCCCGAAGGATTGATATCAAGAACTCGAATAGTCATGAGGAAACAAGTGCTCTACAGATTCCAAGTAAGATTCGCCAGCAGAACAATCCATGAAAAATCGTTTGCGTTTATTCATGCATCATGGAAACAACTAGGGCAATCACAAATTTCTAAAGAAATGGTGGCGAGAGAATAAGCTCACAGTATTTGTCGATCAGGTCGTGAACGTTCTTGAAATCTGGCCGCTGCTTGATGCCGTCGCTTGCTTTCTGCACCTCGGTGGCGCGCAGCGCTTGGACTTGGGAGACGCCTACTAGTAGCGCGGAAAGAGTGACTAGAACAAAAACATTTTTTGTGGACGATGATGTCATTTCTGAAACGCCGCTGGCGGTCTAAGACAGCTGCAAATACGTCGACAGGTGATGATCGAGACGGGTAGAACCAAATATATACTCAGTCGTTTGTTCCGATGCAGTATGTCGATTTGAAGGTTGCTAGTTGACGCTACGCCGATCGTATTTGAAGGGAATGAGAGTTTGGAAGTCTCGAGCTTGCTGGCTGTTGAGGGGAGTTTGTGTTGATAAGTGTCCCTCGCAGTTGCAGATTTGTACAATTATTGCATCCATACGCGCCGCGCATTGTTGCTTCAACGTCGCCCTTGAAAGCATTCGGTCGCGTCGCTCCGCGGTGTGCTTCTCAGCGATTCTCGAACTACCTCGCAGCAACGCACGGTAACTAGAGAAATCCTGGGACGGTCACCTCGCGAGCTCGTTTCGCGTTCGGTGGCGAAGATTCTGCCTCTTCGTAGGGGCGCGTGCAGTAAGGTTGTTCGTTTCCGGAGGCAGTTTTGTCGTTTGCAAGATTGTCAACGCTGAGTGGCGAAGTTGTCGGCTAGACGCTGATCGTGTCGGCTACAAAGAGGTGGGGCGCCTAGCTCCTCACTGGTGTTTGTTGTAACGGTGAAATAGGCCAAGTCTAATGAATGAACTTACAGAGTGAGCAGAATAACGAAGAAAGAGACGATGAAATTACAGAATGACGATATAATGAAATTGGCGAGACTAAATAGGGGGATTCCTAGATAGGCAGGGATTTTGGGCGAAGATGGCTCGGAAGGGTTGCGATTGATGCGGGGGCGACTCGGGAGTGGTTTGGGGCGACGAAATAGGCCGAACCGTACTAATGCGTGGCCTTCGTGATGTACTCGCTAAAGTACGAGTACAGTAAGTAATTGTAATTCCTTACACTATCCCGTCAGAAGGCCTACACTGTGGATCCCCGATTGATCATAGGGGGGTTACAGGCATGTTAGCATTGGAGGGTTTGGGCGCACTGACCCGCATTTGGAATAAGCCATTTATCCCAGTGTATAGTGACTGTGACTCTAACATGGTATCAGGGCAAAAGGTATCGGGTTCGAATCCCAGTGTATGTACATGCTGCCGTTTGCGTTGTGTCGTGTCTCGGGCCTCCCTGTGTGGGGGGGTGTCGGAAGACCTACACTGTGGATCACCGATTGATCCTAGGGGGGTTACATGCATGTTAGCCTTGGGGGGTTTAGGTGGACTGACCCGCATTTGGAAGAAGCCCCTTTATCCCATTGGTCTAGTGACTGGGACTTTAATATCTCCCACCTTCTAAATATGAGCTCCCTGCCTATAGAAGAGTCATGCACTAGCGAGGATGTTGTTGATCTTCATTCCAGCTGAATTCAACTGCTGAAAATGCGTCTGACAAAATGAGTGATGGGTTGGTTGGAATGTAGACCGTCGATGGAGCAGTTGTAGATCGAACGGTTGAAATCGAGTTTAACCAATTTGAAATGAAGTTGGAATGCAGGCCGTTAATGGTATAGTTGTAGATCTTACGGTCGAAGTAGGTGGGGGTTTTTTTGGGAAATGGCTTATGCGATCAATCGCGAAGGGTCAGGAAACGTAGATTTCAATAAAGCGATCGCAGTCGTCCGCCGTGCGGTTGAAAAATATCGAAGTCGAAAATGTCCGAGAATGAAAACAGTGCCGCACACTTTCCCCCCCCCCTCCAAGAAAACCGACCACAGAAATTTCCGCAGCTGCGCCGAGATAAAAACCAAAGAAACATGGTGTTAAGTCGAACTTAGAGAAGTGTTGACGGTCATGTTCAGGCGAAAGGGCGTCGGTGTGGAAATCGATGTCGAGAGCCAGTTACGCACCCAAAAAATATTCAAGGGCGAACCAGGAGAAATAGACTAGAAACCGCGTCGAAATATATCGAGTACTCGAACTTGCATGTCTTGTCGTGACACTACCAAAATTCCACTGCGATGTCTTCAGCATTCCCAGCTGGCAACAGATGACGCTGCGAAATTACAATCGTTGTCGTGGGCGGAAGCGAATGGAGATTGTTATCGCTAGCAGAGTTGGATCGGCGCGTCCTGAAATCCTCTGGCCGTGAAATCAGGGTTGTTACGAGTGTCGGCGAAGACGGCGATTGGCAGCAAATTGTCAGAATGTTATAATTGTCTAGCCTGCAGTGGGGTACTCCATAGTGAGTACAGCCCAATTAGGGTTTGCTATATGTATCCAACTGCTTGCTAGTGAACCTCCTCCTTTCTTCATTCTTACTTTCTACTACTAGTTCTGATATGCTATCAGAGCAGGTCGATCCCCTTGGGTCGATCCTGTGGGTGGGCCCACCACCTCACTGCTTCCGCTGCTACTGCTACTCTGTGTGTTGCACGCCCCGTGGCGTGCGACGGATTTTTCATCCCGCCGCGCGCTCGGAGCGTGCGGCGGTTTTCTGCCCGCCGTGCGCCCCGAGGCGCGCGGCGGTTTTCTGCCCGCCGTGCGCCCCGAGGCGCGCGGCGGTTTTCTGCCAGCCGTGCGCCCCGAGGCGCGCGGCGGCTTTCTGCCCCGTCACTCCGCGCGTCGCTCCTGGGAGGCGCTGCGACGGGCGACGGGGACCCGCGCGTCGCCCCCCGTCGCCCGTCGCGGCCTGCGCGACCTGCGTAGGGCCCGCGCGCGGCCCGTACAGCCTGCGCGCGGCCCGTACGGGCTGCGCCAGGCCCGCGCGCGGCCCGTACGGGCTGCGCCAGGCCCGCGCGCGGCCCGTACGGGCAGCGCCAGGCCCGCGCGCGGCCCGTACGGGCTGCGCCAGGCCAGGGCGCGCCTCGGGCCGCCCGCCCGCGGCTCGTACGGGCTGCGCCAGGCCCGTGGGCGCCCTGTTTCCTCTTCCCCTGCGCTGCTCGCTGTCCCCCGTGCTTCTGACGGCACCCCACCCCTGCTGCTGCCCGTTCTCCTGAATTAGGGTTTGGGGTGGGGGGTATGGGGGTGCAGTTTCTGTGTGCCGTCCCCTGCTCCTCCTCCTCCTCCGTCTCCCAGTGCTGCAGCTGCCGCTGAGGGGGGTGGATCTGTTGGAGCCGTCGGAGTGGTACTAAGGGGTGAAGGGGGAGTGGAGCTAGGGGTGAAGCAGGGGGTGTGTGTGAGAGGGGTGTGGGACGGTCGGGGGAGGTTGAGTGGAGGCTGCTGTCTTGTCGTCCGCAGCACCTGTAGTCCGGGGCGCACTGTCCTGGTAGCCCAGAGAGTCTGCTGCGCCTGTCGCCCGTGGGTCCGTTGCTCCTGTAGCTCCTCGTAGCCCGTGAGCCAGTTACTCCAGTAGTCCGGGGCGCTGTCTCGGTAGCCACTGTGCCAGCAGCTCCTGTTGCCCGTGTGTCTGCAACTTCAGCCGTCGTCTCCCATCTTCTATCCTCGCACAGTCCCTCCTCCTCCTCACTTGCCCGCTGTGATTACCTCTAGCTTTGCTTATAATTGTGAACTACTACTATGCTTGCTTGTTGTGCTGATTACACCCCACTTTGGCTATGGGGGTGTGTCAGAATGTTATAATTGTCTAGCCTGCAGTGGGGTACTCCATAGTGAGTACAGCCCAATTAGGGTTTGCTATATGTATCCAACTGCTTGCTAGTGAACCTCCTCCTTTCTTCATTCTTACTTTCTACTGCTAATTCTGATACAAATTGTTTTGCGAGAGTTGGCGATGGTCGCCGGTCGTGTAATCCAGCAAGGGTCACCTCATAAATTCTTGTTGAATGCAGTTTCGGTGTCAGTTGACGTCAGCACCGTCGGCATATTTGTCCAGATTCGCCGATGTTCACTGGGCAGGGATGAAAAACAGTTGTCCCCCCCCCCCCCCCCTCCCCCCCCCCCCCCCCCCCCCACTGTTGAAGCCGCTCTCTGCGAATTCCAGTTCGTCGAATGTTGCTCGTACCCATGAAAAGTCTTTGTAGTTCTCGCGATGTTGCTCCTTGTTGGTGTTGCGCGTGTTTAACAAAGTGCCGAATACTCCCCCGAAAATGTCGGCGCCCCTCGCCGTAATCCGGTGTCAGAATGTTATAATTGTCCAGCCTGCTGTGGGGTACTCCATAGTGAGTACAGCCCAATTAGGGTTTGCTATATGTATCCAACTGCTTGCTAGTGAAAACCCTCCTTTCTTCATTCTTGATTCTACCTGCTAGTTCTGACATGGTTTCAGAGTAGGTCGACCCCCTTGGGTCGATCCTGTGGGTGGGCCCACCACCTAATGCTTCCGCTGCTTTACATCCTGTCGTGCGCCTCGGGCGCGCGACGACTTCTTCCTGCCGTGCGCGCCAAGGGGGGGGGGCTCCGCGCGCGGCGAATTTTTTCTGGCGTTTTTCATCCCGCCGTGCGCTCGGGGCGCGCGGCGGTTTTCTGCCCACCGTGCGCCCCGAGGCGCGCGGCGGTTTTCTACACGGTGGATCCGCGCGCGCCCCCCCCGCCATCCCGTCGCCATTCGTGGCGCCCTCTCCCGTCGCCCGTCGTGGCGTCGCGGGGGCCGCGCGTCCCCCCCATCCCGTCGCCCGTCGAGGCGCCTAGGGGGCCGCGCGTCCCCCCCCTTCTGTCGCCCGTCGTGGCGCCACGGGGGCCGCGCGTCCCCCCCCTCGTTCGCGTCGTCACGTCGCGACGCTCTGGGGAGCCGCGCGCGGCCCCTGATTCCCCGTCGCGCGGCCCCCTGCTGCCCCGTGGTGGCGCCTGTTAAAGAACTAGCGAGAATTTGGCTTAGGAGCCATAGTAGCTTAGGTGACTTGGTGAAGTTCGAGGGTGTAGGGTGTAAGGAAAATGTCGAGAAAATTGTAAAGGAGAATGAGGAAACTAGAAAAGAGGGGGGATACAAGTAGTAAGCCCTAAAAGGGTTATACTCACTTTTGAGTACCCCACTACAGACTAGACATGCATTATAATCTGACACACCCCCATAGTCAAAGTGGGGTATAATCAGTACAGCATGCAGGCATAGAGCTAGAGTTCACAATAGGTAAGTAAGGCTAGAGCTAATCACAGAGGGCAAGTGAGGAGGAGGAGAGACTGTGGGGGAG